AAACGTGCAAAACACCATGAGAACGCAAGTCGCCCCAATGGTTTCAAACTATGGAGAATTATTAACAAAATGATGTATTTCAATTTCAAGACACCGTGTAAACGCATGATTCATGTATGTTTGCGTAAAATATTTCTTTTGTTACAAAGCGCATCTAATTCTAATGTTCAAAGTATAACAAGTACATCTAAGAAATGTCATCTTTTGGTTCAAAACACAAGGTGAACGATGATTCATGTATGTTTTGGTAACAAATCTATTGGGTTCTGATTTACATCTCAACTCAATATTTCTGCAACCATGTGGCCAAATTGTGCTTTGCTTCAAGCATCACGAGCGTGTGGCAAGTGACAAGGGGCATTTTACAGCATTGTATCAAGAGTTTGTGGCAAGTGACAAGAGACATGTTGCAGCGTAGCATCAAGAGCGTGTGGCAAGTGACAAGAAACATGATACAGCGTAGCATCACGAGCGTGTGGCAAGTGACAAGAGGCATTTTACAGCATTGTATCAAGAGTCAAGAGTGTGTGGCAAGTGATAAGAGACATGTTGCAGCGTAGCATCAAGAGCGTGTGGCAAGTGACAAGAGACATGTTACAGCGTAGCATCAAGAGCGTGTGGCAAGTGACAAGAGGCATTTTACAGCGTAGCATCACGAGCGTGTGGCAAGTGACAAGAGGCATTTTACAGCATTGTATCAAGAGTGTGTGGCAAGTGACAAGAAACATGTTACAGCGTAGCATCACGAGCGTGTGGCAAGTGACAAGAGGCATTTTACAGCATTGTATCCAGAGTGTGTGGCAAGTGACAAGAGACATGTTGCAGCGTAGCATCAAGAGCGTGTGGCAAGTGACAAGAGACATGTTACAGCGTAGCATCAAGAGCGTGAGGCGTTTCGGAGTTGTGGCCCCCTTGCCCCGCAACTCCGACCCGGCTCCCCGCACAACTTCTAACTGACGTGCGCAACCTCTAACTGACGGGCAATGCGCCGGTAGCAGCAACTAAGGGCAGGACTCATCACCAGGCACTCCCACCACGCAAGGAATGCTTTCAGTCTCTGTGAAGCGTGCAAGTGGAGGAGCCAAGCGCTCGGGGGCTGCCAATACATGCCACTTGTCTGTAAAACCTTCCAACAGGAAAGATGTTGGATCCCTTTCTGGGCTGTCATTGGCAGTGATGTAGGAAACTGCATCGATGCGCGCTGGGACTGCCAGCGAAATTTCAAATCCAACACCATCGAAGTCCAAAAACTTAGTAGATCGCCTCTTGTCAACTGCAAACTCTGGACCTTCTGAAATTGGGCCTCGTCCGTCTTGCAAACGTCTTGTGGAAGCTCCGTGCATGTCCACTTGCGACCTGTTGAAGTAAAAGACCAACTCTGCCAATTGAATTGTCCGACCACTTCTTGCTCGAACTGGGCTGAAACGCAGTCGATTGTAGAATCCAGCCCTTGCGGCCTGACTTCTTTGTGGGTTTATCAACCCAGGCACATCCACTACCGGGGCGTTTGAATTTTCGCAGAGTGCCTGCCCACTTCGCAGAAGAATGCTGGAAGGTTCCTGGCTAGGCACCCCGTAAATTCCAATGGCACATAGGCTGCTCATGGTGCATCGGTGCTCTGCAATGACCGGCCCCCAAACTTCCAGTGTTCCAACGGAAAAGTCTGCCTCCTCATCATTTGAGCAGTTTTTGGAGCCTGAATCAGACATGTAACACCAACATACAGTGTAGGAACCGAACTCAAAAAATGTAAGGTTTGGCCAAACTCGGAGAGATTCATCTCCTTGACTGCCTTCGAAATCACCACCATTCTCGGCTACCAGTGCGGACGGCCCACCACAAACGGATCCATTTACAAATCGGATCACGTCGAGTGAGCTGAGCTCAATTCCGGAGAGCAACAGATTGAAGCTGTCTCCTGCAGCAACGCGTGCAGGTTGAAAGCCTAAAGGACCATGTACTGTGAAATTGTTCAGTTCGAGGCTAAACAGTTCACTTGTATAATTGATATCATTGCCCGGCGATATAGTTGAGCATTCACCTCGCCCACTCCAGCACCAGCATCCAGTGTACACACCAGCTTGTTTGATGGATAGGTTCTCCCATTGAAGTGATGTATTGGCATTTCCGGTGGAGCCAACATTTGGCAAGCCCAACACACCTTCAAAGTTTTCTGTTGGAAGCGCCGCTCCGCACATGGGAGCCTCAGCATCCGTTATCATCAAGCGGTCCTCCAACAGCAAACCTCCCAAAGGGGCATAGACTTCCAAAACGAAGGGGTGGCCCACTCTTGGGCGCTGACCGACACTCCGCAGCAAACCTGCTCCAAAAATTGGCAAGTCTCCAACTTTCATGGAGCTGTCGCCACTGACGCCACCGTATGTGTAGCACAAGAGCCAGTTTCCCCCAAAAAGGTTCAGTTCAAAAGCCAAATAACTTGTCAGGAGGGGAGCGCGTTTGGCAAGTGTGCTGAGCGTAGTGTTGGCAGCTGTAGAATCTAAGGTGTGTCCATCAATCACTTCGGTGTTTATTGTGATGGGACCAAACGAGACGCTGCTAATCCCGGGGATTGAGCTAATGTCGATTGCCAAAGTGTCTCCAACCGTTCCATCGTCAACCTGGTCTATGATTTTGCTTCGGATTTGCAATGCTGCATTGTCTGGCACCACAATAGTGACAAAAATCAGCAATGAACCAGGCGCCAGAGTAACATGCACATTTTTGGAAGTCGTGCCACTAAGATCTGCAAATCTGTGCTGGACGGCAGCTATGAGCTTTGCAGTTAGCTGAGGGGCCTTAATCAGATCATAATAGCTGATGCTGGGCGAACGCAAACGCAAGGTGATCTCAACCAAGTCTGCAGTGTCATTATCGATGCTGGTTTGGTTGTGGGCATCCGGATCAGCATCCGAATCATCCGTCAAATTCAACTCGATAGGCACCGCCTCAGAATCATCACTGCTGGAGTTTTCAAGGACCTGGGCGAGAGCGAATAAGACAAAGGTGCTCATCAGAAAATGAAACCTGCAAACGAAACATTCAATTACATTCAATTACCGTACGCCGTGCTACCATAACATACCCACTGGTTCCTGCTGGTCCAAATCACGTGGGCCAAGGATCCATCATGAATTCATAGACCAACGCACTTACCAAACAAACACCTCAAATCCAACACCAAAAGAACGTGGCAACGCAGGGTCACGCAGGGCAGTGTGTTTCTTTCTTCCCGTTCAACTTGCTCAACATCCGGCTAAAAGGATGTGAGGCTGATAGATGGTAAGCTTGAGTGAAGGGGAGGTTCGGAGGATGTTGTTAAGTTGGGATAAGCTGGGAGCAAGTGAGGCTGGAACACTGTGAAACTGAATGAGTGTAAGTTTGAAATAGTTTGAATGAATTATCTGAGACCGCCTCGGCAGCCAAAGACACAAAACCTGCAAAAACAGTGCTTCGATGTGTTTCGGTTTTCGCACACTTCCTTCCTTTCACTCATGAGTCGACCAGCTATTGCATCAACTAGTGAGCTAGTCATACTGTTTTGAAGTTGCCAAATGGGTGAGTTGGCGAGCTGAAATTGCCAATTGGCATCTGTCTGTAAGCCGGAAAACTCTCATCCAAAAACCCTATATATATCCCTGTATAAGTCATCAGGGTTTCCGGCTTTCGTTCCCTTTACTTTCAATGGAAGAACTACAAAAATCCCATGAAATAAAAGTCAATCTGCACGCCTCTTACCACCTCACATCTTACACCCGTGAGCCTGCTCATCCTCTGCAGACAATCGTCTCCAACTGCTCCCCTGGAGCATGCCAAGAGAGCGTCCCCTGATTGAAACATTTCCCTGCTTCATATCCAAATAAACCTCAGCCTCGTTCGTTGTCAGCGGCTGGATGGCCATCTGCGTGAAATTTGAAATGACCAGGTCATCTGTCAGGGAAACGTTTCTCGCAAGCAAAGCAATGCTGCTTTGTAGGACATACTGGAAGGATGCATTTGAGAAATCCATTGGCAAAGTCCAAGTTGCAACTAGCGACTTCATGGCCCGCACTTTGTCAAAGCCATGCAACACTTCATAAGAAAATTCCCACACGTTGGGTGGCATTGACTGTTCACCGAGCGAAATCTCGGTGAAGAAAATACCGGAAAGAAAATGAGCATCTTTATTGTTGTGACTGTCCATATCAAAATAGTTGCTAAAAGTTTCTGTTAAAGCCAAGGGCAATCTGCTTTGAGAGATTGCGTCTTTGTCCAGAAAAAATTCAATCGACCCTGTCCCGATGCCATGGGTCGTCACGACATGATTTTTGGGTATGTTTTGGCGGCTGACAATCGCAAAAGGAGACGATGAGCAGTTGGATCCGCTTGGCAACACAGAAAGCATATCGCCTGCAGGGTTTTGTTGAGGAACGCAGGAACGCAGTTCAGGGCACAGAAACCATTGGTTACTGTAGAATCATGATGAATCATGTAGGTTCCGTTAGAATATGTCAATGAATATATATATATATAATTATATAATTATATATATAATTATATATATATATATTATATATTTATTTATTTATTTATATATAATATTTATTTATTTATATAATTTTATATATTTACTTATCTATTTATTCATTTATTTATTTATTTATTCATTTATTTATTTATTTATTATTTATTTATTTATGTATTTATTTATTTATTTATTCTATTTTTTTTAATATTTATGATTTATGTATCTGTTTATTCATTAATTAATGTTTTGTTTTTTGCTTTGTTTTATTTATGTATACGTTTATATATAAAGCATGTCCATGGATGTTCTCCTTCAGACTTTCCATTTGGAAAAATGAATAACAAATCTGCATGCGTTATCAACATTACATTGCTTAACAAGAGCAAATTGGCCAGGGTCGGCAAAAATGTAAAGTGTTGATAAGTCTTGCACATGCTGCGCAGAATTCAAAGATATAACGTCTTGCAGTTGCAGCATTATAACAACTACAGTAGTTTTTGCACCCACGGCCCCGTGATGCACCGGAGTCAGTCCTGGATGGGCACCAATTGCAGTGATGTTCACAGTGCAGGGAGGCCCGCCAGCGATGCAGAATGCAGGCATTTGCTTTGCTTCCAGCGGGCCAGAAATTACCAAGTCACCGACGTCTTCATTGAAAGCTAAGGGGTTCACGAGTTGCGAAGGCTTACAGTTCATAGTGCACAAGCAAAGGCGAAAAAGTCCCGGGGATGGCCCAGCAATGCCAAAGTCAAAAAAACTTGTGTTTCCAACAGCCGCCGTTCCTCCAACGGGGTTTTCTGCTGCTTTGAATTGGGAATCAGGAGGGGCACCACAGGGGTGATCTTCACGGACAACCATCAAGTGCGGCACGTCGGCAGTGTAACTGCTGGATGAGACTTGCGCCGTACAAGGCGTCCCTGGTACACATTTGCGAATTGCCACTTCAACCACTTTGCTATCGACCCTTGGCAAGAACAAGACCAACATCACAAATATCAGGTGAAACATAGCATGCTGCACGAACGCAGCAACTGCATTAGGTATTCCCGGTTGTCCTTTGTGTTTGCGGTTCATCCTGCCGTGAAGGAAGCACGCAGACAACACAATTTTCGCCTCATGGCAAGGCAACAACTTCTTCTAGCGATTATGTATATGTAGTGTAACCTGTGCATTGTGAAATGTCATCCAATATCACCATCACCTAAGTGTGAGGACCTGTGCAGTGTGGAACTTGGGACTGGTTGCACCTGCACAATCCGGAAACATCAACAACATGTTCTTTGAAACGCATACCCTCCATTACCCTCCTCATCTCCAATGTGCTCAAGTCAGACCTTTTTGGTCCAAAATAATTTCGCAATCCTGTTTAAACATCGGCTGATGGATTGATGTGGTTTGAGAGAATACGGCCGGGCACAAATCATGACGAGGGGTAAATGTCGCATGCGATTCGGTGACAATCAAACAATTAAATGACCAGATAACCCCACATGTCAATGTCTTCCAATAAGCACCAAGCAGATGAAAATGAGACTCGGACAGGCAGGAAAAAGAAATGACATGTTGGGAAACAGATTGTGTGAAGGAGCTGTGTGTGACAGAATGGTGTGCGGAAGTTTGTGTATGTGTAAACATGTTGTGTGTGTGAAAGAGTTGTATGCGACAAAGTTGTTGCGAAAGGATGTGTGTGAAAGAGATGTGGGCAAAAGAGTTTTGTGTGCCTGTGCAAGTGGTGTGTGTGTGCGTTAACCATCTGAAGAGATGCAAAACTTCTAGCTTTCTAGCCTGTTTGAATCTGTTTGATTTCCAGGCTTCTTGGTTTGACCTTATGTCTTTTTCATTGCAATTGCAGGGGGCCAGGAGAAGGAGCCCATGACTGTCTGTCCTGGCCAACGAAGACCAAACAGCATGGGGGTGTAAGCGTACCTGCATTTTCCATGTCGGGTTTTTCTGTCACGGCAGCCGGCTAAGCCAAGAACCGGCGTGTCGATCTTTCGGAAATTATTCTAACAGTTTCAATTTGGCAACTACACTGGCTATGGCGTGGTAACTCCTTGGTACCTTTTCGGGTCCCTTCACCGGCCCATTCCTGTCAGGTGCAGGGGAGGTGTTTTTGCAATTTTTTGCACGTAAAGCGCATTCCACAACAAAATTCGCAATAACAGTTCTGAGCAAGAACTGTTACCCACGTCGGTTCGACAAGATGTCGTGAACCCTTCGGGGAATACCTGTCTTGGTACGATGTCTGATCCTTCGACCTGATCTCTGAATTTACAGTTTTAATCATGTTTTAATCTAATCATTCGTTTAAGTCTAAGTAAAGTGAAGCAGCCGGCCATCTTTCGTGTCTCACCCGTCGATTGTCGATTTGGTTGAACTGCTGCCCGCTGTTCCAGGGACTCACCCTTTTTGACTTGATCGTTTTTCATGACTTGGAACTTACTGGAAACCTCCTTTTCAATGTTGCTCAAGAGACTGACTGACACCGCAGCCTCTCACATGTCGTGTAAAGTGAAGGCGAAGGCCATGTTTGCAGGTACAGTCGAGGGCTGAAGTCAAAGCAATTTTTTTGAATGTGGACAAACCGCTTGCGGAAAAGTCGCCACGACCGGGTCACAGCAGGGTCACAGCAATCCATCAAAACACAAGGGGATTGCCTTCATTTGAAGGATACAAAGTACCATTATAACAAACACGAGAGAGCCCACCCCTCGCACTGCAGACTACTCTTCTGCCAGCACTGCTTTGCATTACAAACAATCATTCTGTCACAATGGTTTGAATTGAGAGGGAGTAAGACTGAGTGAACGAAGGAAACAATGAAAAGAGAAGAAGTAACAGTCTGTGAGAAAGAAAGGGAAGAAGATAAAAAAAAGGAACAAACAAAGAACACAAATGAAAACAAGTGCTGAACATACAACCGAACGACCCCCCGAACGACCCCCGAACGACCCCCCGAACGACCCCTGATTCATGAGTTGTCAAGCGCATTGACCACAACATGAAGTGCGGAACTCCCTGCGCCACCGCACCCCTTCTTCACCCCAAACCATCAAATAAAGAAAACGAACGTCCCTCCCATCCAAAAGAGGTATGTAAGAGGAATGACCAAAGGGACGTTTCCCCCATGTAAGCTAAATGAAAAATATGTGGGAACAACCTCAGCAAATAATACATAATACGAGCGCCGGGCCCAAGTCACATCATGCGGGAAAAGTCACATCATCCCCATGGCACGGCGGCGATACAGAAAGTCACATCAGGTAGTGGAAAGTCACATCAGGGAAGAAGAATCACCATGGCACAGCCTCTTTCATCTATAATTATAGAGATTTAGTTGAAAGTAGCCGAAGCATTGCGCACAGCGATGATTTTGAAGGGCGCAAGTTAATACAAACAAATTCTCGGCAGCTATTCCTAACTTGGATTTGAAAATATTATATTGATGTCCTGCGTCGCGCGACCACATCAAACCCCTATTGGTACAGCCTCAAATTTCTTGCAGTGCAAATGGGTTAGCTGTAGCAAATCTTATTGGCAGGGCTATGATCTAGCATGATATAAGGATATGGAGGCCCCTTGTTTTCCGCAGCCAAATCCAAGAACCCAACGGAAATACATGGATTTGACCCACAAAAGCCTCTAAAACGATTCAACAAATCACTGCAAATCTCATAGGCACAGCCACAATCGCTACGACCCCCCTGAGAAGCTTCGCCCAATGGTATGGACTCAAAAGCAAAGAATCGCTACGACTTTGACCCTTGACTGTATGATGTTTGTTCCTTTTTGGTCTTTGGTGAGGTTCAATTGTCCACTTAATTCAGTTGGGGTCTACTGACAGCCGTCTATACACTGAGGGCCTTGAGCATTATCACGATCCTGTGGATTTGTTGAGTCTGATTAGGATTTCACCTGATCCCTGCGTTGTTGCCATGTTCCTGTTTCCGTGGAACGTTCGATCATGGATGAATCCTTCTACATCCAATTCAGATCCATTGATGCAACCCATGTGGACTCCGATGGCAAACGCGATTCTTCCAGCTCATGGCACGGGTGGACATTTCAGTGGAGGTGATCCTCAAATGCAACAACAGGCCCAATCCCAAGCTCAGATTTCATCTTTGCAGCAGCAGAATGCTCTGCTCAATCAACAACTTGCTACTCAAGCTGCATCCCACATCCACTGGCCTCAACAGTTTTTGCAAACTATCTCATCTTCACCTCATCCACAGAATCCTGTACCATCAGAACCTCCACAACCGAAGGCTCCACCAGAGGTGACAACATAAAATCCACTTCCATTCAACCCTGTAGAGATGGTCCAGAAACTTCGAAACAACTGGAAAAAGGAGATGGGGAACATTCTCAAGAAGTTCCACGACACGCATCCACCTCCAACTCTACCGACAGCATCATTTTGCAGTTTCGTGTCCACCCATGTTTTGTCAGGGCATCCATCCCCCTTGCAATTCGGCCTCCGACCCTGACCCCTGAATCTTTAAGGGACCACTGGTAGCCTCTTAAAGAATGCGAACCAGGGCAAATTTCAGCCTTAAAGAATCTAACCCCAATGAACCAAGATTGCAACACAGTAGCCAGGTATGTCCCTTTAAAAAATTGGAGACCCAAGTTGCACACCAAGGGGTGCCCCTTTAAAGAATTGGATACCCAAGTTGAAGTCAAGCATGAAATGTTCTGAATATTTTTAAGATTTTGGATAGAAATTTCATTTTTCAACATATTTTGACAAAAAAAAATCGAAAAAAAAAACTTTCGAATTTTCATTCCAATACCTTGAGAATGACCCACTGAATGTTTTAAACCTCATTGTGGATTGAATTTATGGATAGAAATCTCATTTTTCAACATATTTTGACCCCCAAAAAAAAAACTTTCAAAATTTCATTCCAATACCTTGAGAATGACCCACTGAATGCTTTAAACCTCATTGTGGACATAATTTATTGATAGAAATTATTTTTTTAAATTTATAAAAGTGACATTTCTCATTTTGCATCATTTTCCCGTTGTGTTTTCCCCCCTTTGGGTCTCCCCTTGGGGTCTCCCCGTTGTGTCTTCCTCGTTGTACCTCCCCGTTTTGGGGTCGAAGTCCTCGGGCAGGGCTTTCCGCCATTTACATGCATTCACTATCATTCACTCTGACGTTTGTGAGCATCTCCAGAAGCGGCAGGCATTTGACACACAATCCCAAACATACCAAAAAAATCCAAAAAACAAGTTCCTAGAATCTTCCTAGGAAGGCCTCTTAAAGAATAGGAGACCGTCAAACAAAAGGATTTCCTTAAAAAATACAACTGTTTTTTTTGCCGGCCATGTATGTCCCTTAAAAAATACAGTTTTTTAAAGACATCATGTCCTGAACTCTTCAGGCTAAATTCCCAGGAGGATCCAAGGAAGGCCTCTTAAAGAATAGGAGACCGTCAAACAACAGGATTTCCTTAAAAAATAGAACTTTTTTTTTTGCCGGCCAGGTATGTCCCTTAAAAAATACAGTTTTTTAAAGACATCATGTCCTGAACTTTTTAAGCTAAATTCCCAGGAGGATGGGCATCCATGTTTTTCCCGAATGCGTAGCGAAGGGTTCCCGTTTATAGTCTGGGGGTCTGGGGGCTGGACCCTTGTTCGCCTCGAGTCTCGTCGGGTCATCGTCGGATCGTCGTCGGCAATTCCGTGTCTATGGGGGAAGCTGCAAAACCTCTCCTTTTTGAAGGTTTCCACGCAAGTTTTGCGTGGCAGGCGTAGCACTTTGTGACATTCCAACCTGTTTGATCACGTGTCGAGTGTGTCAAAATTGGAGGACGTCTCGCACGAAATGCTCGTTTTGCTGCGCCCACGTGTCTCGTCTTGAGTCTCTGGTTTTCTAGACACGTCGCCGTGTCTATGGGGGAAGCTGCAAAACCTCTCCTTTTGGAAGGTTTCCAAGCAGGTTGTCATGTCGTTTCGCGTGGC